TGTCATATACAATATGAATATACTATTTTTAAAGATTTTTTGTGTGTTATATGCTTCATAAAATTTTCTTTTCATGGAATTAACGATTAAAAACTATGACTTATATCATTCGTTTCCACCCGCTCCACTTATTTCACCCACGGGTGATGGACATGTCAGGTGATGAGTGATGTATGTAATAGATGATGGATGGATCAGGCAATGAATATGGAGTTGATGGATGGAAGAGGGTGAAGCTCCACCCGAACAAAACCCAATCCGTTGCCATCACTACCTCCTTGATTCGCTCTTCCTAAGCTTTAAATCGTCCTATGATTTTTGAGAACCTTATTTTGTTCAAATACAGAACTTACTCCAAAGAGGCAACTATATGGATGTATTTGGAATGAGGACGAGCCCTCAAAAACGTCTTTACCATCCTTTTCTATTTGATCTCCTCTCCTAGGGCTACGAATTTTGAGGCCAAACTTTCTAGTGAAGTCATTAATTGGCTCTGAATAATGCATCTTTAGATTATCGAACTCTGTGTTTAGGGTTTGGAGACGAGCTTCTCTAACCCGCTTAGCCCCCAAGTGACGAGTTTTGGTTGCAGCCACAGATCCTTCATGGTCTCCTAATTGCCTACTTGCAATATCAAATTTTCGAGAATTGATTGAAACATAAGTGTCATTGCCTTATCATTCTTCTCGATATCGATTGAGCCTAGTTCAATCATTTCTCACACCTTATGGACTCTTAAGACTAATTTCATTCTCATGGCCCATATGATGTAATTCGTAGCACTTAGAATGGGACATTGGACAGATGTAAGTCATACTCCCTTAACCTTCTCCTCCTTCCCATGCTCTTGATGATAATGATACTAATCAACTAATGTTTCCACAAGTATCCCTACTCCTCATTCTTTTTCCTCTTTAGAGTCTCATTTCCATACTTCTTTTCCTCCCAGACCACAAAGAATCATCATTCTTGCAGCCAAGTTTTGAGATTATATCTGTCCCAACCTACAATCCAGAACTCACATTAGTTGCTCCACAACTCACGCTCTTTTTTTCCAATACTACGACCTCTTCTTTACCTATAAGTTTCAATAGTTTCCTTGCTAATATATTGAATACCACTGTACCCACAATTTATGCTCAGGCTAGTCAAGACCTAGGTCAAGTCAATGTCATGTCTTAAGAACTTTCTGCCCTTGAGACCAATAATACATGGTCCCCAACCCATTAACCAAAGGGTCATAAGGCCATCTCTTGTAGATGGGTTACAAGGTTAAATAAAATCCTAGTGGTGCCATTGAAAGACTAAAAGCAATATTGGTTGTCAAAGGCTACAATCAAAAGCTTGGCAAGAATTACAAAGATACTTTTTCTCTTGTGGCTAAATTACCTAATTTTAGAGTAGTTATAGCTTTGGTTGTAGCTTACAATTGGCCACATTATCAACTTAATGTCAAGAGTGCTTTCCTCCATAGCTATATTGATGAAGACATTTACATGAAGCCATGAGAGGTCACACCCAATTGTAACCTTACAGAACTATAATAAAGCAATGGGGATCACATCTTTGAATTGCTCGCAGACTTGTCTCATAATAAGAAGCATTGGTCATTTTAATAAAAAACTAATGCATCTAGAAGAGAATTCATATAATAATTAATAAATTACTAAGAGTCATTTCATATTTATAATTTGAGTTCTCTTCTAGATGTCTTAGTTTCAATTCCTTCACAAAACATTTTTAAAACTTTAGTTGCTCGTATCTTTCTTTTGCTTACGATAAATCATTATTTATCGTATCTTCTCTACTCATTAGATATTTTTGTTAGTATGATGAATCAATATTGTTATTTATGAAAAGTTAAAACATTTTAAGTGAGAAAGATGTGCATTCAATGCGCTGCCAGACTTAATGGGGTCGCTTTAAGAGAGAAAGATGTGCATTATCAAAATACTCTTTCCTCCATCCGGGAATAATGTTCCCGTTGTACTCTTTTTTCTGTCTGGGAATGATGTTCCATTCTACCTTTTTTTCTCTACTCTTCCAAAAATAACCTTATTTCAAAAATATCACATTCTCCTCAATTTTTTCTTTCTTCTCTCGCATGTTTCTCGATCTCCTCCATCTCTTCCTCCTTTTTCTTCTTCTTCTCATCAATCTCATGTTTCGTCCACTTCTTCCTCATCTCCTCTTTCTCCCCTCCATCTTTTTCTTCTCTCCTCCTTATTTCTCCTCCATCTTTTTCTAGATCTGAGCATGGTGGCGGTGAGGGTTGTGGCTATGGTGGTGACGATGATGATGGTGTTCTAGATCTGCATTTCTTCGTCTTTTTCTTCTTCTTCTTTTCTTTTTCCTCATTTTTTGTTTTAGATCTGTGCTAGGGTGGCGGCGATGGTGGGGCTAGCGCTGATGTTAGGGTTGCTGGCGAGGTGGGGGGACAGCGATGGTGAGGCTGGCATCAATCGAAAGTGTAGATCTGCACTCTTCTTCTTCTTCTTCTTCTTCTTCTTCTTCTTCTTCTTCTTCTTCTTCTTCTTCTTCTTCTTCTTCAATTCCTCTCTTTTCCCAACTTCTTCCTCCTCTTTCTTTTAGATCTGTGTCATGGTTGGGTTGTGGCAGGGATGGTGGGATTGCTACAGAGATGGTGGTGGGGGGTGGCACATAGTCGGAGAAAGGGGCGATTGGGGACAGTGGGGCTGGGTGATGGTAGTGGCAAGGAGCAGAAGGGCATTTTAGACCAATTACACCCATAATCAACTTTTGATAAAAATGAACAAAAGTTAAACAGGGAACATCATTCCCGGACGGGGGGTAATTTTTACTATGTGTTTTGCATGGGCTCGTGTACCCTTATGTTAAAATATACTACACATTTTATATATGTACAAACTTGATTTCTTAAGAAAATGTGAATCTAAATGATAAAAATTATACAGTGAGAGTATGTACATTATATTATATCATTCGTTCAATTAATTTATTACTCCATTTGTCTCAAATTAAATTGCCTATTTATTATTCACAAAGTCAAATTTCATTTATTTTCTTTCCTTATTTTCGTTAGTCATTTGATAAAATAATATAGTAATGTCACCACAAATTTTGTAGATCTTTTGGTGTAATTTTTAAATATTTAATTTTTAATTCTACACCATTTTTTATATAAAATGATTTGAAAATATTTTCCGTCAAATATCGTAAACAAGAACAGACACTTTAAATTGGGACGGAGTGAGTACATTTTATTGATATTTATAAACAACAACAACAAGAATAATAATAATAATAATAATAATAATAATAATAATAATAATAATAATAATAATAATAATAATAATAACAACAACAACAACAACAACAACAATAATAACAATAATGATAATAATACAACAACAACAACAACAACAACAACAACAACAACAGTAATACTCATGTTAACATAAATGTCAATCTCACACATACTTTACATTGGTACTCCTTCTCTTTCATCTAAATCAATCTCAACTAAACAATTACTCCATTCGTCCTAGAGTATTCGTCCACTTTTGACTTTTTTTGGTCAAAATTGATATACTTTGACCTCAAATTAAATAAAAATGGTATTAGATATTGATATACAATATATATATATATATATGTATGTATATATATATATATGTATATATGTATATATATATATATATATATATATTATTTAATTATAAGTTAAAGGTTAAAAATAGTTGACTGGAAAAAGTCAAAACTGGACAAATACTCGGAGACGGAGGTAGTACATTTTTTTTAAAATTCATGCAAAAGCAAATTAGAAAGTAAACTTGGAACGAAGGATCAATAATTAATTCTTCCATAACATATTTTTCACTCGTTCAGTTTTCATAAGAAAAATTATCTTAAGTAATCCCACTTCTTCACGTCTTTCCAAAAATAATCTCACTTTTCACTTTCATTGAAAATAATCCCACCTTTTCGCATGTCTGCAAGTATGGGTCACTCTTAAGAAGTTAACGGCCAATTAACGAAATTTTTGAAAAATGCATATTTTTTACAAATAAATGAAAGGTAAAATTATTTTAGGCAAATTTATTTTTTTGTTTTTTAATTTTAAAATTAAAATTTATGTTATTAAAAGTATAACAGTACACTTTTGTTAAAAATTTGTCTCTGTTTTTTAAAAAATATACTCCCTCCGTCCCCCTATATTTGTCTATATTTGACTTTTGGAACTATTCATCTAAACACTTTGACTCATCAAATTCTTTCAATGTGTAAGCCTAAATATAGTCATGTGTGATCTTATTTGATTTGTCTTAACATATAAATTATTAATATATAATTTTTATAATTTTTTAATATATAAATTACAAGATAAAATGAATTAAAGAAGTGCATTGGATGGTGTGTAAAAATGAAAGTGGACAAATACAGGGACGGAGGGAGTAATAATTTACAAATTTTATATTCTATTCTAGGGAAATATAATATTGGATTATCAAAAAATAATTCAAAATATTGCTCGAGAAAGAAATTGCAATTCAAAAAAGTTGTAGTGAGTTATAAACATAATTAATGCCCTTTTGGAGAAAAAAATACCATGTCATTTTTACAATTTTTGAACTATTATTTTGGGTAAAAACTTTGTACGCCGTTATTGAAAAAATCACAAATTCTGTAGTGCCACTTTAGAAAAAATAATAAGAGTAATAGGTAAGTATTGATAAACATTTGCGTTGTTCATGAAAAAAATTACTCGTACTACAATACAACAAAATATGTGGTAAGTTATAAAAATTAAAGTTTCATTTATTTGCTATAAACAAGCATTTTCCAAAAATTCGGTATTAAATAAAGCAAAGTCTTGGTTGATGAAAGTCATGAAACAAACATCCAGCACACCCATAAGTTCTAAAGCAAATGCAGAAATAAATAAATAAATAAATACTACTCCATGGCAGTAAAATTAAAAAGACTAAGGCAACAATAATCATAATCCATGACAGTGCCGACTACCCAAGTCCAAAGCCAGGCAGCAGACAACAAGGATCATGAAGCCGGACTTTATACAATAAAAACCATTCACAATAATTGACTTCAAAATATGAATAGAAATCCATAAACAATACACTTCTTAAGAAGGAAAGACTCTATTATGGAAAATAATCAAATTCTGATTCTGATTCTAAAACAAGAACACCATCAGAACCAAATTCAAACAGCTCTGATAAACGATCAAGTCTCTTGTTACCTCAAGTTTCAATGAAACACATGAACCAGCAGTTCATTAATCTCCAAAAGCTCAAACACACAAACATATCCTTCCCTGAGATCATTTTCTTGAACAAACTTACGCCACCCGGATGCTTGAAATGTATATGCTTCCATGGTGGGTTGAACATTCACTACCCAGAACTGTAGATTTGAGTTGCGGAGGATAATATCTGTTTTTTCGCTCGGAAACATGTCTATAGGACACGCCGCTTTGGGGATTTTCTGCAAATGAACAGGCAGAAAGATGACTTCGAGAATAGTCGCAAGGGTAAATAATAAAATTATATAGAAATCATCCTAAATAGAATTAAAACATAGAGAAAAGTACCAAAATAGGACTTTCATGTTTTTTTTTCCCGGAATATGACTTTGCACTGTGATAATGTGACTTTGCATTGTGGTAATGTGACAGTGTACGTGTGTAAATTACTATACTTTTTTGGCAATGTATATGACCATGTTTGGTAATGTAAGTCAAATGAACAGGCAGAAAGATGACTTCGAGAATAGTCGCAAGGGTAAATAATAAAATTATATGATGTTTTGTGTGTAAAAACAACACAATCATCTCTTACCAAGAGATATCTTTTCACGCTGCGTTCATCCAGAATGCACCTGAAAAAAGGACTGTTGGAGCTGAAAGCAAGAGATTTAGACCATGGACTTGGCACTTCATTGATGGGATATCTAACTGTACAAAAAGAAAAAGGTATAGATTATTAAATAGCAATAACAATAAGAACTAGAGCCCAAAATGAACATACACTTCAATGGTTTAAAATTTTCACAGTCGATTGTCACCCGAATTGGGGGGTGGGATTTATAGGGGTGGGGTGGGGGTGGGGGGGTTAGAGAGTGTAGGAACTATTATGGGATAGAATGGTGCTCTGTAGAACCACCAAATGGGCTGGTGTCATAAAATGACACTGGTAGTCGGTGTCAAAAGAACTTATCTCTATTCAAAAAATGAACATAAGTTTCGTAATGAGGTGGATATTGTATATTCGATAAGGCTACGTGATACGGGTACTACGGGCATGCCACAAGAGGAAAACACAAAGACCCAGTGCGCATGGACCGTCCGCGAAGGAACGTCGGGCGACCCCGACGTTATTATGACTACATTTAATATTTTTAATTTATATTTCCATTGTAACGTAGATTTTCTTAGGCGAGCAAATTATAAGCTCCTTCGAGGGTTTCTTTTCGGTTCTTTACCTCGATGCTTTTATTGAACCGACAGGATAGATAATTTAGTAATTAGGGTTTGGGGATGCTTCCATTATAAAAGCTACGGGATGTAACCAATAAACTTAAGCAGAAATAATACATCCTTCCCCCTAAATCTCTCTCTCTCTCAAAAACCCTAACCAGCGGCTAGGTGGCTAGGTTGTCTGTGCGGCAAGGCTACGTACGGCGGCCAAGCTCGTTGCGTGCAAACGGTGCGTAACACTACGTCACACAAAAATGATTTCAAGCCATCCAAAATGTTACTCCCTCCGTCCTGGTTTAGCTGTTCACTTTCTAAAAAATTTCATTTAATGAGTTTAACATGTCAAATAAGTCATTCAAATGAGTTTGTCACTCATTCATTTCTACAATGCTCTTACCTTATCTCTAAGATATTTTAGACAATTCATCATAATTTTATTAAATACGCAATGTGGACAACTAATTCCGGACAAACAAATAATAGAAAGTGGAGAACTAAGTATAGACAAACAAAAACACAAAAGTGGACAACATACAACTACATCCGGATGGAGGGAGTATTTGGTTTGTGGGGAAGTTACACAACTTAATTCTGTACCCAGTAAGGCATGGCCTAAACACATGAGTTTCTAGATATGAACTATGAAGAAGAAAAGAAGACAGATGTGAGTATATTACTTTGTGGTGATGGGATCCTTTTAGAACAATGCATTATATTGAAAAACTCAATATGTATTTTGACCAGAGAAAACTATGTTCGTTTAAATTCAAACAAAAAAGATGTGTCAATGTTAAGTACATAATCACAAATCAGCAATGGATGTTTATATATGCACCTAAAGCCATTGTTGTAACTCCAGTTTCCACCAGTTCATCCCTCTTCTTCTTGTGAGCAGAAATTTCAGGCTGAACATCCAAACTCAGGCATTCATCTGATTTGCAGATTAAAACAGGTGCGTAAAGTTAGTAGATGATAACCATAAGGCTATTCAAATAAACCATGCATACACATGTGTGAGCGTCTGTATTATGTACCCTTCCTAAAACATATATACATTATTTTCATTTATCTTCTTGATATGACTTCTTATTGAGTTCACCCAAACTTCATTCTTATTGCACTATATAAAGCATAGTTGTAGTTCACATGCAATTTACATCTGTTGCAAATAAAATGAACTTGAAATCTTTAACATTGTGTCCAAATTAATTGCATCTGTTCTATTATGTGTCTATCTACTTTTTTTTGTCTACATGGTCATGATAGTTTTTTTTTAAGGAAAAACATGGTCATGATAGTTAAGCATTAAAAAATGTCATGATGCGCAAATCCTTTGTGATTTGTGAAACAAATTATGTACCCCATTTCCATTCACTTTTTATTTGCAGAACTTAAACACTAGAATAAAAGCTTTATGACATGAGCGCAGTAAGTGTTTGCCTTTCACACGTCGAGAGGTATTGTTCTCCACTTGTTTGCAGACATTTTCTTTCCCAGAATCAGAGGCTTTCACCTTTGGCAATCCATTTGCACCAAACACTCTCACATCAAATTTTATGGTTTTGCCTCCATCATATCTAAATAATAGGAAGTCTCTTTCACAAAGTTGGTTTTCTTTGAAAAATTTGCCCCATCCCTTGCTTAGAAATAAGCCATCTGCATCGAGACATAATTTGACCTTCCAAGACTGACCAGAAGAGCACGTTAGAATTGCTTCGCCTGGTAAACCTCTTCTACCCTTTTTCAAGTTCTTCATGAATCCCATTGGGATTGGCTTCAAATTCAAATTTGCATCATAAAGGGGTAATTCGATCAGTTATCACACATCAATATATTATGTAATCATACTTAATACAGCTGTACAGCTGTACTCAAATGTGCATGTGGTTTTCATTTCACTTGAAAATTGAAATTCAATGCACCTTAAAACCAATGATAATGTTATTGGCAATATCACGCCACACAATGCAATGTAAGGTTCAACTTACAGTCAACTTCACCTGTTTTCAGTTATCACTATTCAAGGCAAATAGAGTAACCGGGTGAGCAATTTCACCTTTTGGTACAATTTATCAAATATTTAATTTAACTGAAGTTCGCCACATGAACTTTTGTAGATGGGTAAGAATATACCCGTGATCAATTATTCATGGTGTTAATAGAGAAGATGATCGAAATGCAACTGTCAACTCAAACAACGGAAATCAACAGGAACCGGCAAAGCAATGTGCAATGGTAACACATAGAAGCGATGAAAGGGATTTTCGAACAACACTCAGCTCTATGTTTGGGAAGGCAGCCAGTGCCACACAATAACCCAAGGAGGCAAGGACCACTCGAGGTGACACTCTTGCGGTGAAAATGCCTTAGACCAAGAGGGAATCAAGTTTCATGTGAAAGATGACTGAGAGAGATCAATAGTATACTAAATTACTAGCATACTAAGATGGATTCATAATAGGATGGACAAATCACAAAAGTATACATGAAAGCTAACTTTCTCAGTGGTGGATCCAGGAAAAAGTTTTGTTAGGAGCACTTTCGGTGAATAGGGGAAAGGACAATCCGGGGATTCAGGGGCAGCCAGCCCGGTTATTCTTGTTAATTCTCTGGAAAATGACAAAAAAGAAAATCAAATTTCATCTTAAACAACCATTCAAGTAATCAAAATTAAAATCTCGTTTTGTATCCCAAATTTGAAGAACACTTCACCAAACATCAAATAATATACGCCACTTAATTTAAGTTCAACTAATTATTATATTCCACTTAATGTTACAAACCTAACAAATTTTAAAAATGAAAATTTTCATTCAGACATTTTCTCAAGCACTTTCAAGGCACAACCATATCAATAAAACAGAGTATCAAATAATAAAATGTTTTTGACCATATCAACCATATCAATTAATTGCTCCGTATTTAAAGTAAAAGTAATTAATATGTGACAAAAACAATAACATATTAGACTGAGATATTAAAAAGTTTACTTTAGGATAAGGAAAAAAACCTTCCTCTTGTCGGTGCTCGCAAGCGACTTCCCCTTTCCTGTGTAAGTTTATTTTTTGCCTTTTAGGGTTAAGGAAAAATTTCAAACTTCATGGGGGCCTAAGTTTTATTTGGGGACCTAAACTATACTAGGAATAAAAATAGAATAAAATAAAACACAAAATACCTTAAACTTCAAAATTAGTTTTTTTTTTTTTGGGGGGGG